ATGTATAATGTTTGGAAAAATCAGGTTTTATTTAAATTTTCTTGTTCTACAGTTCAAAGAGAATTTATTAATAAAAAAAATGTTATTATAAAATGGTAATAAATATTGCATTGCAGCTGGTTCATATTTTTATTTTACAAATTTTTTTTTAATAAAAGGTTTGTTTATATATATATATATATATATATATATATATATATATATATATATATATATATATATATATATATTTTTTTTTTTTTTTCATAAAAATGGTCAATAAATATTGCATTGTAGTTTACATTTTTAGTATTGTAAACATAAATTAATTTTGTAAATAAACAATGTAACAACTAAGTAGTGTTTAACATTTTTGTTTTTAAATTCTAAACAAGTTTTTTTAAAACAAACATCACTGAGGAAGTATATTTTAGTAATAGAGTTGTCAATAGAAGAGAAAAAAAATGTCTTTGACACACTGCTTTTTATTTTTGTGGGTACGAAGATTAAACTTTGCCTAGAAAATAAATCTGTTCCACCTCAGTACCTGTATCATGTTAAATAAGTTGCATGTCTTAAGTATTGAATTTGATCAACTTTGAAAGCTTCTTGTGATCAAATGTTGTCTACAGATCTGAAACCATTAATGATGTATGACTGGAAATGGTAAAGAATATAAGGATGTTTGTAGGACATACACCAAATAAGATGCATACATACCTGAAAGCTTAGAAGCAGTGATTTTGAAGATTATTCAAGACATCTATTAACCATTGTTATTGTATTTAGCAAAGGAAGGTTGTTGCTCAGTAAGAAATGTTTACAATCACACAGTGAGATATTGCAAATAATTATCTGATGCTCCTAATGTAAACAATTTTCCTTGCTATAGTGAAGACAAAAGAATAGAAAAGTAGAATTAGAAGAGAAAAAAGTGGATGAGGCTTCTAGAGAGTAGACAATTTTTGCATGGCAGATACTTGGAGTTAGAGAAAGATACTGTGTTGTGCTCTCACCAGCTAGATATGCATTAGATTTTTGAAATCAAAAGTCAATACCAGGTGAAAAACTTTATGGAACTGAATAAGGTTACCCTTCAGTCTAGGCATCATACTTAAAGTTACAGGAAAAAAAAAAAAAAAAAAAACCATTTCATTGCCATGAGCCAGATTCAGCAAAGCTTAGCAAGTAAAGACATTTGGTGCATGACTTAAATTCATTTTTTGGTTTACTGGGCTGTGAAAAAACACATCTATCATTCCTGCATACATGCATACATACATGCATGCATGCATACATAACACACACAATTTTTATTAACAAGGCTGTTTTTAGACTGCCTATGAAAACAAATGGAAGTACAATTGATAAGAGAGAAAACTGAAGCACAATTTTATATGTGATTAATATGAACATATTTAGTGGACCCACATGCTTGAGAAGACAAACCTGTTCTTTTTATTCTGTTCAAATCAGTGAAATTAATTTCTACTAGCATAGACATAGAAAGTCATAATTTCACTATTTAAAAAAAAGGGATGTCTACTTAAATATGAGGGCCAACTAAATATAGCATTTATAGTAATAATATTGGGTTAACAAAAAGAATTATATATCTCCCATAAATGAATATGAAATAGCAAGATTTTTTTTAGGAAGGAGCATTGTCTAGTCATAAAGGTTCTCTATCAGGAATAACTATTCATTACTCAAGAGGAAACTTTAAAGTTTAATGCAGGTACTGATCAACTCTGAAATATTATACTGATATCATTTATAACTAGAAATAAAATTTTAAATAATTCATTTATCTTGATAATGTTTATTTCTTTGTGATTTGCTATTATAAATACTGTTTGTGTTGCCAAGTTTGTTATAGAGAAGTAGCAGAAGTGAGCTGATGTGTGCATCAAAATTTAATGCAGCCAGTAACATTTACAGCAGCCTGAAAATGTTTCAGAGCCAGCAATACAAGCATTGGAATAAAACATGGGGTTGGGGGGAACGAAAAATGGAAACAAATAAAAAATTAAAACATGAAAAGCATAACCATTGGTAATAATGATAATGGGGAAAAATATCTTACTTTAAGTAAATATAGTAACCTTGTGATAGTTTAGTGATTTTTTCCTGTTCTTATATATAAAATACACAAGTAGGAAATGCATTATCTTGTAAGATTCCTATCCATATCTGACCTACATTTGATCAATTCACACTGAGTCAGCAGCTGGATTTAACCATTCCTTCAGAGCAGTCTCATGATCTACTGCTGCTTATAATCCATGTTCAGTGATTTTTCCACAATGACCATGAAGCTCAAATGAGCAAATTTAATTTGATAAAATATTTACATGCAAATTTCAAAGGTCAACACAAAAGTTGAATTTGTATTTACTTCTATAACATTGGGTGGAAAAAGGCAGGCAAGATTTAGTTATTGTAACTTAATAAACCAACAGATAATACTTGCCTTACATCTGTAATGTCATTCTCATGCCTACATAGAGTATATGTTTAAGAAAAGAAACAAAAAGAAAAAAAAAAGAAAAGAGAGAACACTATTATTAACTTATTACAGGTGCTTTATACTAGGCAAGAAATCCGATTTAAATGATTTTTCTCATTTGTCAAGCAATGTTTTCTTTTATAGCCTGTAATATTTATTTCTATTTGAAAGCAAACATTTGGAATCATTGAAGTTATAATTTTGAAAATCAGAATCATAGATACAACTTAATTTTAAAAAATTAGAAATTTAACATGTCTGTGTTTTAGTTTTTTTATTTTATTTATTTAAAAAAATGTACACTGCATCAGCATGTTAAAAGTATCAGTATCTTTCCTCCTCTCACCCCAAGATTATTATGTTGCACATACTTGTTTTTCAGTTAAAAAAAAAAAAAAAATTGCTTGATGGTCCTCAATTTTGATTAGTATAAAAGCAGTTTGAAGAGATAATGCAGTATCTGAAACTGATTAAGTTTTAATTAGTGACACAGTTTACTAAACCTGAAATTAGCCACAACAAAATTGAAACCAGATTTCAAAATTGTGAGGATGATAGAATATGAAATATGGTAGTGAAGTTGTTTTTCTCTATTTTGGCCATTCAGTCAATGTAAATCTCTGGCTTAAATTTCATTAGCAAATTAATGTGCAGTTTATCAGAAAATAGAAAATATTTAGACTTGATATAATGGAAACAAATTCTTGTGTTAACAAGAGGCACCAAATTTTACAATACCAGATGATGTAGCTGGCACCTATGGATAGAGGCTGTGGCTTAAAAGAAATTTTATAGCTGTATATTAATCTTATATATCATTAAAAGTAACTCTTCATAAATTTTGTTGTGACACCTTATCAAATGTAACTTGTTCAAAATTGAGAATTTTAAAATTTTTTTTTAACTTGCCTAAGAAATTCCTTCTTAGTTCCAATGAAAGAACAGTTTAAATGAGAATAAACAAATGTATACAACAATGAAACCTTCTAAAGGGAAAATGTACAGATTCTCATTAAAAAAAATAAAATCTGATTAATTTCATAAATTTGCACTCCATAATAAAAGCAATAGACACAGAATAATTCTTTGCCAATTTTATGAAGCTTTTTCTCAGACAACTTGAAAATCTTGAAAGGAGAAAATTGAATTGCACAAATTTTTTTTGGTCCTTATTTCTTGTATATATAACAAAGAGGAACTCAAAAAACTGAGGGGAAATATACAAGAAAAGAATAAACGAAAGTTAATCTAACTGGACTGTAGAAATAGACAACACCACAGTCCTGCATTTAATACACGACAAAGTAAGGTTTCTGCTATTAAAGATTTAAAACTAATTTTAAAACCAATACCTGCACCCACCTGTTAAAATAAAATCCATGGTTCATGTTTATTGGAAACTAGACTGTCCCAGGGGTTAAAAGCAACAATAAATCAGATCATGTTAAGATTTTGGTTTTCAAACCCAGCTGAGAGAAAGAGAAAGTACCAGTAGGAAAGTGCTATGATGTTTCTCAGTATCCTGATATTAGTTCAAATTATTTTCTTTAAAATGGGAAATATATGACCCATATAGAATGGATTCAAAGGAAACATTTATTGCATTGATGATGATAATATATACCACCCGCTGTCTGAAAACGTATTTTATCTAGCCTCTGGTAAATTATTTGGTCGCCACAAAAAAAAAAAAAAAAAAAAAAAAACTAGAAAAGAGATTTTTAGGTGTGGTAATTGAAAAACAGAAACAAACCTTTAATTCATTGCTTTGTCGAAACCATAGAAATTGGATGGTTAAGTGTTAAATATTGAAGAGCAAAATGAATTTGTGTTAGCTGTTTGATGATGACAATGACAGCAATGGTAACTCCTATTTCAAAGATGAAATAATATTAAGAAAGATATTCACTGAAAATTTCACTCTTTTTCATTAAAATTTCGTTTTTTTCCCCTCTTCTCAATTTCCCTTTATCCTATTCTGGAGAAAAAAAAAGTTACAATTTATCTTGACTCTCATAGTGGGAATGTAGATGTATTTTGGGAATTATATTTAATTTCAAACTCAGTGAAATAGATTTTGCTTAAGTTGACAGCATCAAACTGAAAATTAAACACTAAAGAAAAACAAAAAGAGAACTACAAAAAAGAGAATAACAAGAAATCTGTAGACTAGATACCAGGTTTCAGAATATTCTTTCAAATATACACCATTAGCCTGGTTAGATTTTGCTAGAAATCTTTAAGACTTTTTCCTTAAATCTCACAAGTGTATTTGAAAAATAAATAAATAAATAAAAAAAAAAAGAAAAGTGGGTGTGGCGGGGATTTTAATGTTTGCTGGTCACAGTGATCTTCTGATGTGATTCTGTAAAGTGGTCCGAGTCTCATTGTCAACACAATTGATTTTTATTGATTAATAATTGGTGTTGTACATCCAATTCTTGACTCCCTAGCAGCTTCTTCCATCTCTGCTTGTGCTTGTGTGCATTTACAATTGGCTCAGAAGAAGCATTTATGCTTCATTGTCATGAACAAATAATCGCACAGATTTGTCCAAGCCTGCCTGCATAAATGTTGGTGGTTCAGGATTGTCCTCAGTTGGATGGCATGGCACTTCTCCTTTGGGGAAATTACTCAATACTTTGAAGTCATCTGGGCATTGATTATGGCACAGAATAAAATAATATAAATACTGAAAAGAAAAAAAAAGGTAAACAAAAATAAGATAAATCAAAGAAAAAATAGTTTATAACATGAATTCTACAAAGTTAATAAATGATTAAAATAATTGTAAATTGAAACTAAAATACTAAAATTCAAATTATATAATAATCTTACTCTATATATGCCAAATGTCTTTTATTATTTTGTTTGTAATATCTAATTTTTAATGTCAGTGCTAGTTACTCTATTGAAGTAGTGATGTCAGGTGACAGTGTCTTATGAGAGATTGTTCACAAATGGATTAAAAGAAAGGATTATTTGTATAAAATCTAAAAAGGACCAAAATCAAAACAAAGTGAGCAGAATGGGAAATTGATGTATTGATGCACAAATGGGTAAGCTATGATAAGTGGAAAAATATAAATTTAAAAACTTACATGTAAAAATCTAATATTTGTGAGAACTTAAAAATACTGCCATTTTTGACAGCACAGATAAACTAGTTAAGTAAATTAGAAATAAACAAGGAAGGAGATTTTTCCAATAATCTTTATATATTAATTCTATAGCATATAAACCATATTTCAATTGTTTGGATTTAAATACAAAGTATTATATATATAATATTATAATATTTTATCCTTGTGGAAGTCAATCAGTCTGTATCATAAGCCATACTGCTACAATAATGGCAGTTACATAGCTTTAGGCTACAATATTAACTGTTAGCAGTCTGTATTATTAATATTACTTCCCTTTCCACAGCATTCTTTTTTAAACTTCCTAATTGCAATATCCTGATTGCCAATTTAACTCAAAGTTGTTTTCTGTTGCCATAGCAGGATATGACAACTATGAAATTCAAACACACTATTGTGCAGGGACCAGAGTCACCTTCAGTGGCAGGATCAACTTTTTGTACAGTAAATGAAGTCACATACAGAGTGATAAAGGTTAAATTATGGGCCAAAGAATAAAATTCTTTTTTATTGGCTATAACCTATGGTCAAAATACCACAGCAGTTTCAGATTAATTATTAATTTAAGCATTTTTAAAACCTTTAGTTGAAGAATTTCTTTAAATTTAAATTTTAAGAAAGAAAAAAACATTAAGACTTTGTAAAAGTGGTTGAAACTATTGGCATCTAATTGCCCATGTTTTTGTGTAAACTTTGTCATTAGTAATATTAATTAATAATTAATCATTAATACTTGCTAAAAATTCTTATTTCTTAAAAGTTATCAGATTTTGAAATGGGTAGAAAAACTTTAATTTTACTACTCAACAATTTCCATTTAAAAAATTATAAAGTAAACATTAATTGAAAAAAGTTATAGTAGCAATTATTCAATTGTCAAGTATGGATGTAAACATGCAAAAGTTTTTATCAAAATACAAGCACATACCTGCAAACAGGGTTTAATAGATATAGGTGTTGCCAATTTATTAAAGCAAAAGTGATTTTGCAAAAGAAACTGACCTTTAGTGAGTGAGTTTTAAGAAATCTTCTTTCTAAATGTGCACCACTTGGGACAGTAAGCATTATCCTTACAACACCTTCTTGGTTAGCAGCTGGTTCAGGAGGAATTAAATCTCTCACTTCCGATTTTCTTCTTTCACGTTCCTGAAAAAAAAAAAACAAAACAAACCATCAATATGTAAATACAAAGAGAAGTAGAACAACTAGCCACAAATTATGGCACTACATGAATTGATTGATCTGTTCTATTTTTTTATTTTAAACATTTTTTCTAGATTAGCATTCTAATGAATGACCTTCTTTCTTCAAGCCACAGCATTTGTCAGAATCAAAATATATTGATTTTTTTTGCCATTTTCTGTGGGGAGAAGTACTGTTCATAATATAAACCAATCCTTAACTTCTTAAGCAGTTCTCTGTACTTTGTTAAATCAATGACAAGTTTGAAACTGTATTTCAATTTGCTTATTTCAACAGCATATTACAAAAAAAAAAAAAAAAGATAATATCAGTAGTATGCCATAAGCAGTTTCAGACTTAATATTTGAAAACTAAAACAAAGTAGAGATAATTCTTTATGAAGTCAGGGATATATATATATATATATATATATATATATATATATATATATATATATATATATATACACACACACACACACACACACACACACAAGAAGCGTTGCCGGGCTTGATTCAAAAATCGTACGACTCATACAGCACTGCACGCACTAACCTGTTTCTTCCCGCGCATAGCGTGACCTTAAATTAATCTGTATTTAGGAAATACCCAACCGGAAAAACATTTTTAAGGGTTGACAGATTGTTCATTTGCACTGTTTGGGGGGGCGCTCAGAGTTGAAACTTCACATGGTGACTCCCAATGGCCTCCTCATAAATCTGGTCGGTTTTTGCTAAAAACTGACATGCGGTTCAGGTGCAATCTGGGTGTATTGCTTTTGGGTTTTATTGATTTTCCGCGCTGTTTAGGGGTCCGTGGTCATGAAACTTCTGGACAACACTTCTAAAGGTAGACTAAGAGGGTGTCAAATTTGGTTGAAATGCAATAATTCCTTCTGTAAGCAGATTTTTTCGATTATCGATTTTTTTGGAACCTGAGTCCGAACTGAAAAATCAAGGTTCTGTCATGTCCTTAAGGCAGCCATTTGCAAATTTGTGGTGAAAACCGCATCGAAATCGGGTGAGAAATGCGGCCTGGGCGAGGTAACAACGCCCACGACAGACAGACAACATGAGAAATATAGATAGTAGATATATATGTGTGTGTCAATGCCATGGCTTGAAAAAACTCTAATGAGCACTAATCTCCAAAGAAACCCCCTCCCCCTTTTGTTTTTAACAAGCAGATCACTCAATTTAAGTAATGCCCAAATTATGAATGATCAAGTAGAAAGGACTTTGAAGAATTTAAAGCAACAATGAAGAGATGGACTGAAAACTCCAGAATTCTAACAAGGATACAAAGAGTTTATGGCATCAAGAGAATGGAAAGACAAATGAAATAAACTTTTATAGAATTCAGTGATACAATCTGAACCCTACAAGTCAAATACCCTCTATTAAACAATAAGGAAAGCTCAAGTAAAAAAAAAAAAACATTAAACTTAAAATAGCAGCCTAATGCATAAATAAGAATGAACATTAAATAGCTTGAACATGACAAATACTATAAAATTCTTCAACTTTAACAAAATCCTGTCTTTTGTTTTTTTAAAATCAACCAAAGCACTGAAACAAACCATTAAAACACGGTCCCACTCAGCAGCTTTGTCTCGTTGACGTTTTTCTTCCTGCTCAACTTTGTCCCGCTCTTCTTTCTTTTTCCTTTCCTAAAAGAAAAAGAAAAAAAAATACTTTAAATAACAAAATAAATAAAGTCTACAAAAATTCAAGCTTATAAAAAAAACAAATATAAATATAAGCACTTATTTGACATGTTTAATAACCTATGTATGTCTACAAGTCATTCCATGTCATAATGCAATCAATATATTTGCTACAAAAAGTTTTTATAACTACTAATTGAACACTAGCATTTTTGTAATTTAACACAGGCTGAAAAAAAAAAAAAAAAAAATTCTCCGTAGTTAGGTACTCAAAATCAAACTTAACCCTTTGCCTGCCCTGTGCATATGTGATGCACAGGGCAGTTTGGATAGTATGCACAAAAATTCCCTGGACAGGCAAAAGGTTAATGTTACTATCTCTATTGTCCATTTTATATCAGAACTGTTTGTGCAATAATCCAATTAAGATAAAATAGTCCATAATGTCGTTTAGTAAATGACTAAATAAATTTGTTTTCTACAACAGAACAAAGTGTTAATGCATTCTTCTTCTATGTGCCATATCATTTCAGGCTTTCCACAATTTCATGTTCTTTGTAGCTCTGAGTAAGTATTGTTTTTTGCTATCTCTCCTAAACCCGGTTTTGATATCCCTTTACACAAGCTTGTTAGACAGGTCATGTGCAGCTTTTCTGTTCCTCTTGCTTTCAATATGTCCTGTGAGTGTCAAATTTTCCATGTCCTCTCTCCAGAGTGCCTGAGAAATTTCAACTGTCACTTTCTGTTTTGAAGTAATTGTCCTTTTTGTTTTCATTTTCTCTAAAACTTTGTTGTCACACATGCTCAGTCCATGGTATTCTCAGCATCCTTCTATAGAATCCACCTGTGAGGCGATTGTCCAGCATTCACTGTCAGATAGAAGGACTGAGGTTACATTACAGTTCAGTACGCTTTTCTTTGTTTCTAATGAAATTTTCATTTAAGACTTTCAGAAAGCATCTTCCACTATTTCAATGCATCTTCAGATTTCAGTGTCACTCTTTTTTGTCTGACCTTTTTTTTTTTTATTATTTTGGTGCCTATAATTCATAATTCACATCTTACGCTGTTCCCTTTTCTAACAACCATACTGTCTTATTGCAAGTGATGTTTAATTCTTACTTTTCACTTTCCTTTACTACTTCCTGTAGTTTTCTTTTTGTCTGCTATCAGCACTGTGTCATCTGCATTTCTTATGTTGTTAAAAGTGTGACTGGCAATAATGACTTGTAGTTCTCTCAAGACTGCCTCACTATATAGTTGAATAAGTCCAGTGAGAAGACACATCCTTGTCTTACATTCTTTTCTATTTTTTTGTATTTACTGAATTCATCTTTTATCCATGTGCAAGTGGTTTGCTCACAGTATAGATTCTGGATTGATATAACTTGAGATATTTAAATATGAAATAATAATTTGATCAGGCTAGTCATGCAATTTTAACCTTTTTCTGTTCATTCCGATTTATAACCATATGAAGCAATGTAAATTTCTCTTGATATGCTTTAATTAATAAATATATATATATATATATATATATATATATATATATATATATATATATATATATATATATATATATATGTGTGTGTGTGTGTGTTTATTTGTTACCCTTACACAATAAATAACAAGACATACTTTTACTTGTTTCCTAAACAAAAACAAGGAAAATTTATATTTTAGTTTGAAGTAATTTAAAAGGATTAATAAATACATTTGTAACTTACTTTTTCTTGATCAGCTTTTAGTGAAGCATAATATGCTTGGTCTTGTTCTTCTCTCAACACTTTATCAGCATTTAGCCGTTCTCTAGAAAACAATTTACAATGAACACCATGAACTAAGTGTGTTTCTTTTTTTTAAGAAAAAGAAAATTGTCAGAAATTAAATGAGAGTTCAAATTTATCAGTTACAAAAAAAAACCCAAAAAAACCGCAGAACAAAATGATAAAAAAAAGTACATCATGATTATATTAAAAATAGTTAAATCAAGCATAGTGTAAATTTTGGTAACATCAGAACGAAACAAAGCTTAAACAAAATTTTTTCAATAGCTAGTAGACTGTATCACAAGTTACTCCCCCTGCTTCAAGAGAACTGAAGTATATTTTATGAATTACCTGCATTTTCAAACAGTGCAAATGTTGCAGCAGAAAATACACACATCAAAGACTTTGTTTAAGGTATATAGCATAACGTTCAAACATGAAAAATTCTTTTTGTAATAAAAATAAAACATTAATCAAAACTGGCGTGGGTAGAGATAAAGACTTAATTAATTAAATTCTTAACCAGAACTATCGATAGAGAAATTCTATGCTTTGAAAAACATAAAAACCTTTATATTGCAAATAAAGTTTTCTACATAAATATGCCATTAATTCAAAGTAATTATTAAACATACAATGCTAGAATTAGATAAATAAAACCACAAGCCAGCCATAATATTTTAACGGTGTGTGTGTATATATATATATATATATATATATATATATATATAAACAAATAAATAAAAAAATCTGTCAGATTTAAATATAATTCCTAAAATTTTATATATAATGTTGGACTCTGTCTTTCTGACACACACATTTATATTATAGGTTGGTAGCAATTTAAATGACTTACGGTCAAACACCACTGAAAACATCTGTTCTTGTTTTATAACCAATGGTAAGCAGTATAGAGCCCAGTTAGTACTTAGATGGGAGACTGTTTGAGAAAACTGGGTACAAAACTGGTGGTCATGAGGCTAGTGACATCATCCCATAAAATTACTACTTAATTACTATGGAAATCATAGCAGCAACACTGTGACTCCATACTCCACTGAGTCTATGCGATTAAAGGAGGAGGAATTTAAATAAAACATATGGAAGATATAAAATCTTTCTGACAGTTTAGGATCTAAATTCACAAATATAATATTCATGGGACCATTGTACCAGTATTCATGCAAGAAAATTAAGAGCCTTTGTATGAGGGGATGAAGAAGTCCCACAGGCAAGCTACTTGAAATTGACACTCTCCTGCAACCTGTCCTTAAACCCAAAGTACAACAGGCAGATAGGGAGAGCCATCATTGCCAAGGTCAGGCTGTCAGTGCAGTAAGAGCTAGACACTCTACATGTGTCAACACTTGGGAAGAGAGATCTCTGCTTGGTGACAGGTTGAATGTCACTCAAAAATCAGCTTATTCAGCCATAATCAAAGCAGTTTTGCATAAAACTACATCTTCAATCAGTGCATCTAATTAGACCAGGTTAACCACAAAGCAGTTAATATCAACATCTGGAGAGTTGAAAATTAAATCATGGTGACTTGACTAAAACTAACCAATTTCTGTAATCCATTATACATACTTTGCTCCTCAAACACATCCTTATCATCATTAATAATGTCAATAAATCCAATAAAAAATGTGTGTGTATATATATATATATATATATATTTTAAGTGGTGTTTATTATTAACTATATTATTTATGAATTTTTCTCATTATTATTCAAACAAACACGTATACTATAGGAAGAGAAAAGTTGAAAATGGAGTAGCAAAACAAGCCTAAAAATGAATCATTGAGAAATAATAAAGGAAAAGTTCATGGACGCCTGAGCAAGACTGATGGAGACAAAGACTATGTTTGTGCATGCAAGAAAAAGTCCAACCTGTCTAATCGTATTGAAGTTACTGCATGTTCATTGACTTCAATTGCTCTCTCCAGCCTTCGAATCAACTCTGGTGGATCTAGAAGATAAAATAACAACATTAGCTTGCATAGATCTTAAGTAAAAGTAAATTTTAAGTTCTGCTCACAGAACAGATGTCTTAAAAGAAATGAGTGGGGAGGGTCAATCATTAATATAAAATATATCCCACTTACCAACACGACCTTCAATTCTAGCGACAGCAGTCATGCTGTTGTTCTCACGTAACACAATCAATGAAAGAAATGGAAACTTTCGTACGCGTACAGTTCGGGATACTGACAAAAGAACTGAGAAAGTATAAGACATAGTCAATTAAGAAAAACATTTTTGTAATTATAAAATGCCGACCTCATTAATATTGCTGAAGTCTTTCATACAACCAAAGTAAAAAATAAAATGGAATACATTCAGATTAAATGGTGATGTACAAGTTTTGAAGCCTAAAAATATATGGGATCAAGTTTGCAAACCCTAAAATCATTCTGGGCCACAGCTACCGTGGAGGTGGGGTTCAACCTATATGGTAACTATAGGCCAGTAATCTTGAGGTCATCTTGCATGCCACAACTTATGCTAATTTACTTGTTTTTGCGGTATCTATAAATCACAAGATTTCACAAAATAATTTTGATCTTTAACAAATGAAGTGGTGGATATATTACAGTCTTTAACAAACAGCAGGAAAAATTATTTTATATCAAACTATGATTTAATAAGAGAAAAAAAAAAAAAAAAACTATGTAGAAAAATAAAGAACTATTCTGTAACCACTATATATATATATATATATATATAACTATTCCATATACTAGTTATAAACTATATAAGGGAACTACTTAAATTTACTGGTCCACTAGTAAAATACAAGGAAGATTTTTTTAACAATAAAGTTTCTTCAAGCCAAGGCATTTATCAGAATGAAAAAAAATTTTTTTTTTTTTTTTTTAAATCATTTTAGATGGCAGGGAGAGAGGGAGTCCATTTTTCACAATATAAATAGAGTGAGAAATTGTTCTATGACTTTATAAAGAGTTATCTGTACTTGTATTTGTTTTTATTTACAAATGCCAGTTTAAAATTGTGCATACATCATTGGTAACTGATCTACTGACGTCTTTTTTTTTTTTAATTCATAATAATAATATGCAGTTATGACATAAGCAGAATTTTAAACTTTATATTTGTAAAAAAAAAAAAAAAAAAAAAAAAAAAAAAAAGAACAGATAATGCTTTAAGAAGTCAGGGATCGTTTTTAGACTTTATTTTATGAACTAAAATGAAAAAAAAAAGAAAAAAAAAGTCAATTTTTTTTTTCCAATTCTGCCAATTTACGAAGGTCTCATTAATGCTAATCTATAAAAAATATTCCCTCCCCAGCAAATTTTTTCTCTATATTATACAAGCGGACAAGTTAATTTAAATAGTGCCAAATAAAGGTCCCATCTATAACTTTGAAAATAGGCATTATCATTTCAAGAGTTATAACAAAAACAAAAGCAACATAGAACGAGTTTAGTAGTCCAAACAACTCTTGAAATAATGAGAAATAAGTTAAAATAAGATAACAAAAAAGAAATGCTTAAAGAAAATGTTCTTGCATTGTGATAATGAAGACATGGTTTTAAAACTATAAGAACTTACATAAAAAAAACAACAAATTCGATGTATGCTTAAACTATGCAATAATTATAATTTAATATAAGTAAGCATTAAAATAATTTTTAAAACAATATCAAAAGAATAACTTAAATCAATGACCTGCTTAACTTGTACTAAAGCTGAACAATTAAATAAAATTATTCTATCTATTTTTGATGAATATTCTGTCAGGGATATATAGTTACAGACTCAGAAAAATTTGAAAGAATCTTTTATTTTGTTTGTTTATTTTTTTTTTTTTTGGTAAATTAAAATTTGTTATGAAAAATTTAATACAACCATAAAAATGCCAGAAATGGCCTGAAAACACACAGAGTTAGGCTTTACCTCTATATCCCTCTGGACTGGTGACATTACATGCCCAGAAAAGCATTCGGCTGTTGATAAATTCAACCACACTTGAATTACATAATGTGTTTCTGTTAAAAGAAAGGAAGTTACAAAAGAAAAGTATAATACTTAATAAAATTTTTATTTAAAACACTTCTAATTCTTTATCATGATAAGTAAATAAGAATTAAAAGAAATATTTTCAAAAAATGTTCTCTCCAAACACAAGCAGCAGTTTATTCATAGTTAAAAAGAAATAAATGACATTTGAAATTTTTATTAAATACTGAGTAAAACACGATTGAAAGATAGCAATGCATTTTAAAAATTTATATTTAAATTAAAATATTTATTCAGCTTTCAGTTTTTTCTAAATAAGAATATTTTAAAAATATATTTAATCTGGAATGTTCTTTTTTTAATTGTAGAAGTTGATAACTATTCTTACAAAGTCAGTGATTTTTTGCTTGTGTGCATTTGTAGTTGAAAATTAAAATACAAGGGTAACTTGACTCAAGAAAAAACATGGAATAGCACAAACTGAAGCGGGGGAGGGCATCTTTTTTTATGGTACAATGGAACCACTTATTGTGGTGTGTGTGCATGAGGGATAAAAATATACTTTTAAGGTAAGCTATGTTTAGGGGTTAAGTACTCAATATCAGGAATAGAATGCATGTAAATATAAAAGTGGACACTGAAGTCAAGACCCAGCAGTACAGTCTGTTTCATGCTTAAACACAATCTTCAGGCCATATAAATGGTAGCATACTTTGGATATAAAATGGTTTCTCTGATGGAATAAAGCGATACAAGCTAGATTCCTGTTGTGACAGACAATTTTTCTTTTTGATCTAGACCAGTTATTAATTTCACAATTTAAAAAAAAATAAAAATCAGAGATAGCAACTCAAACACTAAATTAATGTTTATAGTAATAATTTTTTTTTTCTTCTGAAGAATCAATGGATTTGTTATCCAAGATTATTTCTTAATACTCCAAAAGTTATTTTATGGATACCTATATTTGGCTGGGTCTACCAGCTTGCTCATTCAAGAGACTTAGTAAAGAAAATGTGCTCTCCAGCATGGTTTGAACCTGTGCCCACATTTATAGGAGAAACCACTGTCTGATCTGGCATACTTTAGACCACACTACCAGAGAGAGCTCACATCCCACCAAAAAACACATTTATTGAATGAGTAGACCAATAGATGTAAACTGTTTAAATAAGAAAAAACAGGGTGCCTACTCAAATTTGTGTATCCACAAAATAACATTTGTAGCATAAGGATTATACATCTTCAAATGTCATTAGAGGATATACAGATTTAAAATAAATGCCACATTTTTATTTTAAACAGTGTGTATTACACTGCATATTGCTTTTGCATTTATGAAATCTTAAAGAAAATGTACTCTCTGACAGGGATTGAACCTGCATCCTCCTTTATAGGATAGAAACTACCATCTGACTTGGTGCGCTTTACCACTTGGCTACAGAAAGCATTACAGCCTAGCAAGGCTCCATTTTCTCTTTTTAGAGCCTTGCTGGACTGTGAGCTCCTCTAGATGTGATGACCAAGGATCTGGTAGCATAGAAAATAGAATTAGTCAACCAAGTTCAAACTGAGGTAATCTGTATTCACTTCAGTAGACAAGCAAAAATTACCAGAATCTTTAATAAATTTGATTGGATACAATCCAAAGAATTGACTATTTAGAAAACAAAACAAAGCTGATAATAATGGGCTGAGTTTTGAAATGAAAAACAGTTGGAAAAAAGAAATAAATTTTACTGAATAAATCTAAATCTACCATAATCTTTTTTTTTTTTTTTTAAATATTTTAGCATTTAAATTTTAAAAATGAAAATATCTAGTGAAATTCGTTTATATGAAATGAATTTTAAAACTATTATTGCTAGATTTAAAAATTACTTAAGAATTATTTGTTGATACTTACTGACAGAATAAAATAGAATCAGAATTGCCATCTTCATGAAGATAGACAAGAAGAAAACGCAATTCTCTTTTTGCATCATTGACAGCCTAAAACAGTTGGGATGAGAATTTCAGAAAACAAGTGAATCCATTAAAAAAAAAAAAATTAAAAAAAAGAGAGAAAATAGATTTTAAGATAAAACAAATCTTAAATTCAAGTTCATTATTTCAACTTCACAGCATAAATACATACGCAATTTTACTTTGGAGTGGTTTAAAAATCTGCTGCAAATGAATTACATTTTTTGAAGTCAAAGTTGTTTTTAATTGGTTCTAAAATCAATGACTGAGATACAAAATGAATATACAAATTAGAAACAAGATTTATGGAAGATTTTTCAAGAGATTTTCAGATAAGAATATGAGTCTAAAATTTTCTCTTAAGCCTCAATTTACAGATCATTGGTGTATAAAAGCAAAATGACTTATTGACTAATAGAATGATGACAATCAGTCTGTACTTTTTTTATATATTAGCTAAACTTTAAGATGCAACATTTGGACAGTCATTTGCACCTTCTATATATTTATTTGATGATGTACTGAAACATTACTGGATTGACAAGGAAAAAAAAAAAAAAAAAAAAGAAAAATCCCTAAATAAATCCTAATATTTGGTGAGATTTTGATAGCAGGTCAGTTAAGAATCTTTCTGCATTCTCTCATACATATCATTAACCAACCTGACTATAAGCCCCTTGATAAAAAACAGGATGATTTTGTCCATATTCTTCTTTGAATTTTCTAATAAAAGCTAAAACATCTCCCACAGGATCTGTAACATCTGTAAAAAAAAAAAAAATTACATTAAATTTTCAAATTGGGAAAACCTTAAGACCTCCACTATTTCAACTAAAGCAATTCCAAATCTAAGTATTGCTGTTTTCAAAAAATGCATTCTTAAAAAGCTTTATGCATTGATTTAAAACAAACATAGAATCATTTAAAAAAAAAAAAAAAAAAAAAAAAAAAAAGTATCAGATTTTAATATTTTTTAATATTACAAATTATTATTGTAACAATATTTAAATTTTTTAAAAATGTTCATAATATCGGATACACCCTCACATGAAACATCAAAAAAGCTAACCATAAATCCCTTCTAAGGAAATGTAAAACTATTCAAAACAAAATGAGACATTAGCTTTTAATAGCACCCAGATTTCAATACCCTGATTCTAATGAAATATTCTGAGATTTTAAGTTAGCATTCATTAAAGTACTCAAGATGAATCATTTAATATAGTAGTTATAGCATACTTTTTCAGGTACAAAAATAGTTTTTGCTTACAATTAAAAGGTAACCAACAATGGTTATCTTTAGTTGAATGCATGAATAATATATAAATAAATGGTCATATTACTGTTAAAACAAACTTTAAGCAGTAATACTTACTTTGCCTAGGATCTGGCCAAACTAATCGATCTATAAAGAAAGAAAATTTGAAAAAAAAAAAAATCACAAAAAAATAAGTGAATAATTCTTCATTCAGTATTAAGATATCAATATATAAGCTTGTAAAATAAAACCATATATCAAAAGTTACAAGGTTTTCAATTTTAGACAACATTTTGTATTTACAAAGATCGGTTAAGCACAAAGTTTTAATTTTCTTTTCTGCTTTCATTAAGTAAGTGAAAATTTTTTGTTTATTTTCAAAATAGTAAATTATCTTGCATTAAATTTAAAACCTGACTACTTCAGAAGTTAAATGTTTCAAAACCATTCCAAATAATAGCAAAAAATGAACTTACAAGCAAATTTGATTATATCAATGAACGTTGTGAAAAAGAATCGAAATGGAAGCATAAATGCATAAGATATCCATTGTAACACACCACGGGGTCCTTCTGACACTGTGACATAAACACTACAATGAGAAGTTAAAAATAAAAATAAAAGAAATAATGGCATGAAAAGAGTTTATGACATTGCAATCCAAGTAAAAATGGTAAATTTCTTATTTTTAAGTAAAAAATAAGCAAAGTTCAAAAGCAACTGATCACCATTATGAATATATTGTGAACAAAATACAAAGTTATACAAATAGCAAAAAGATATTAATCATAGAATGGGAAATCTAAATATTTGTATGTGAAAACATAATTTTGTCCAAAAGAAGTGATATTTTATTAATAATATTCAATGCAACAGATCCATAATTATTACTATAAGACACCTGTATGCACTAGCCATCACTAGAAGAGCAGTTCTTATGCATTTCTCATTTTGAAACAAGTGTCCTATATCACCAACAGAACCAATATACACTGAAAAAGAATTTCACGTTGTGTTTTTCTTTTAAAATACAAATCTTCTTACTGATCATTTTAACTCATTAATGTTGCAGATAAGGTTTTTATCATGGCAGTTCTAGGGCTCTATTACAAACAAATTTCTACCACAGTTAATAATTAACCCATTATATCAGAGAAATTAGAAATTCTATTTTTAATGAAAATCTCAAAGGTCATATCTAGCTGAAAAACAAAATCTTAAAGAGTCAATTCAAGTACAATTGATAATTTACATTTGTAAACATACATCAGTAAGCCTAATGAAGAAACAAAAAAGTTATTTTATACATCTTTTTCAACACAATCTTCTTTATCAATGCACTAAATTCAATGGTAAAATTACATAGATCAAACACTATACAGTAAAAATTCAGTTAACAATTACATGTTAAACTTCAAACTAATTGACACAATTTAGAATTTGCTATATTTTGTGGGGAAAGAGAGGATAGAGCATTTGCATATACAAAAGGTGAAGACAATAAATGAACACTGCATAGTGACAGTCAGCTCTATGTCTTAAGCAATCATCAGACTGTGTTATACATATTTGTATAGGCTCTATATAGGTCACTGGAGGCTTATGGGAAGCGGGGAAACCGGGTTTAGGGCTGATGTTTTTAGATTATAGTCCTGATCTTGAGTTTGCTTATTTTATTTATTATCTTATTGTATTTAATTATTTTTTTTTGCATACTTTCTTCAATTCTAAAGTTTATTAGTTTTATTAGGTTATTAGTTGTTTAGTCTTTGGAGATGTGATGTGGTTGCAGCTAGCATAGCAGGAATTTGTTTTCATACCTACATTTAAAAATGATGTCTGATCTTTTATTTAGAAGTTTATACTGTTTCAGAATGTTGATGGTTATTTTCTCCTCTAGACAAAAGTCTCATGTTTTTTTAGGTATTGTAAGCTGATGCAGCTTTTATCCCCACCCCATGTTATTTTAGGTGTTTTTAAGGTTTCATATGTATTATGAGAGTGTTGTGCTATTTACATATTTTTGGCTGTTAAATGAGATTTTGTGCAAATAGCTTCTGTTTCCAAATACCTTCTGCTATTGTGATATATATTTTTTTCTGATCCCCCTTTGGAACTTACAGTAGATTGATATGTGACATTGGTTTGCAGGAAGTTACCATTTAGTGAGAACATTCACGTTGTTCTGTAGTTATAAGTGGGGAGTGTAGGGGTTTGTAGTGTACTTCTGTTGTGTTTTCATGATTTCCACCATATTTTCAGTGAAGCTTTCGCTGACTTTTTAAAACATTTCTGTTGAGTATATTGTATAATTTAAATATAGTAATAATCAAAAAACAAATGTAATAGATTTATTTTACCCTGATAAATAGATCTATGTCTATGAAACAAATATATATATATATATATATATATATATATATATTTCTAAATCAGACTTGCCAAATAATTATTTTAGTAAATGTTTACACTCCATTTCCTTTTTCTTAAAAGCAAGTGTGTTGATTATAAGAGTAAAATTCATTAAGGCGAAAAAGCTGTAACATTACCATCATATACCTCTAACCGAGGGAGAATATATCATTACTTACTGCTGATCTCTTGGTGTTAAATTCATGGATGGCATTCGTGGTTCTGGACTGTGCGTTCTGGCTGCTGTCAACGGGGCATTAGCTACATCCCTTTCATATAGGGTATCTGTTACAGCTGACTGCAAAACAGAAATCACTGATATATTTAGTTGATACATTATCAAATATATATAAGTAGACAAATAAACAGTGTAGGAGGCAAACCTGTAGATAAAACAAAAATACACTGAGTAAAGATAAAATATTTTTTATTTCTCAAGAGTATATGCCAATTTATTTGCAAACCACTTCAAATGTATTATTTCTAAGTTTACAAGATGAAAGTTTATAACAATCTTAAAATAACCACAAATACAGTTGGCCCACATTTATTCCAGCTTTAAACAGTAGTTTTGAAAATGTTTTTTTTTTTTTTAAATACAGAAAAGCATTAAAACGTCTTGTTCCAGATGAGACTACATCACCTAATAGAGAAGTGAAAATTCTACCCATTCTGCTATCATTCCTTCCCTAAGTTTTTTCCCTTACATTAAAGAGTAACTTCTTTGCTATATAAGGTCTATGTTTGTAGCATCCACCAATTGTGCAAGGTTTCTATTTTATTCCTTTGTGTGAGAAATGGCAAAAGTGCCAAAGGCAATGATGAAAAGCCTAAGAAAGTCAGAGATAGACCGATTTGTTTTTGCTTTTACAGTTTATCAACTCCGTGGGTTATTTAAAGCCAAAACATATTTTGGATTGCAAAAACAATTCTTTTTTTATGTGTGAATATTGCATTAACAACTTTTTTGAGGGAACATTGTTTTTCCAGATACAAATCCTACTATTTAACCCTTAGATGGGGAGGATAGATTCATGCATACATCAATAAAAACACTAAATATGTAGCTAGAGAACATGGTGTAGACGCATAGGTGTTGATGGAAACAGTCTGCATAAAAAAGAGGCTTAGCTTGTATGAATATTACAGTGAAGCGGTTGAGGAGAGTAGTAACAATGTTAAAGCTAGCAAGGAGTGGCTTTTTAGAGAGACTGGTATGGCAGGACTCTTGCCTCATTCAGAATCCTGTGCAATCACTGCAAGAGAGTCCTGGAAAATGCAAAGAACAGCTATGTGCAGACAGTCCAAGTCAAAGTAGAAGCTAAAATACTTGGATTTTGCCAGTTCTGTGTAATTACAAACCCAATTCCCAATACAGGCAGACCATAAATGCCCCAAAGTCATCTCATCCTTCTTAGATAAGGCTAAGCTCTTTGCAATGAACTTCACCTCTAAATCCACTTCAAATGACAAGTGCCTTTCCTTACCTGACTTCTGCCACCTCATGGAGCACAAGCTTTTTGATATCTGTCTTAGCTCAAGAGGTTTCAAGAGATCAAAAGCCTTAACTTTACAAAAGCTACTGGTCTAGATAAAATCCCTGTAGTTGTCCTAGAGCTATCTCTAATCTTAGCAAAGCTGTTTAACTGTTTCCTGAAGAAAAAAAGGTTTCCCAAGCCCATGGAAGGTGTCTAGTGTATGCTCTATGTACAAGAATGCAGGTGAGCCCTCATTCCGATCACACTATCAGTGTCATTAGCAATTTTTTTTTAAGCTATCATCAATTTGTTGACCACCTCAATAAAAACAACCTCCTAAATAGTAAACAGTATAGTTTCTACCCTTCTAGATCCACTGCTGATGCCTTAAAAATTCTCACACATTGATAATAAACAAGAGCCTTAGATATCTCAAAAGCTTTTCACATGGTGTGACATAGTAGATTGCCTAACAAACGCCCCAGCTATTGAATTTCTGTAAAAGTCTTCTCAGTTATCAAGTCTTTCCTGTCTGGTAGGTCTTTGAAGGTCATTAATGATGTCCTCTGAAACACTTCAGATAAATTCCCTCTCCTCAGTGATTCCCACTTCCTGCTTTATATTAACACTCTCGAGAATATTATCAGATCTGTAGTAAATATATATGCAGATGATACCATGGTGTATCGGTACACCTCCAAATGTCAGGATGAAGCCTTGAAGCTGATCTCCCCTCTGACGTAACTCTCACAGCTCAATTGGGGAAGTCCTGGGCATGACGATAAACTACATCCAACAGCAAGGCCTCTGATAATGCATTTTTGAAAAAAATAATGTTGCCAGCTGTATGTTTTTGAAAAAAATAATACTACCAGCTATACACTTTTTTTTTTTGAAAGAATAGTGTTGCCGGAAAAAATATTACCAGCTATACGTTTTGAGAAAAAATAATATCATGAGCTATATATTTTTGAGGAAAAAAATATTAACAGAAATAAATTTTTGACAAAACAACAATATTACCAGGAAAAAAAAAAAAAGTTGTTGGCATTAAAAGACCCATTGAGGTTGATATGCCGTAAAACAAAACAAACCATCAATTGGGGAAAAAATTGGTTTGTTTCATTCAATGCCTTTAAAACAAAAAGTTTCAACACTGAACAGACCCGAAATTTGTTCCAATCCTGATGAGCAGTCATACCCTCAAATGAGGCTATTTGCTTCAAATTCCTATTGGGTCTAAAGCTCATTACAGACCTCAAAAAAAGATGCTGGAAGAATGGTTGGTTCCTTGTAACTCTTCAGAAAATACCTAATTCCTGCTGCCACGCTCTATTTTTATGAGAGTTAGATCAAATCAAAAAAGTCATATTGTTGCCCAGTCCTCACTGAGTTCAAAAGTGATTACATGGCCTTTTGGGTGACAAACTATTTTCCACCCTGCAACTGTTATTCCACTGACGAAACATTGCTAGTCTCTTGCTGCTCTATTGCTATTATGACAGATGTTCAGACGAGTTACATTCCTTAGTCCCACCAGCTTAGACCTTTACAGTTAGGGCCAGCAATGATATGCTCACGGTAGAAAATCATCTCCATTCTATTTGTGTAGTATGTTCGATTCAGACAGCTTCTTCCCCAGAACTGTTAATTTGGGAGACAGACTTTCAAGAGGATGGTTCCCTAAATATTAGAACCATAAACTCTTCAACTCTAGAGTCAACCACTATCTAGCCTACATATTCTCTTAATATGCACACCCTACTTCCTCCTTCTTTAAAAACCTTGTTCAGTAACCTGCTTCCTTCTCCTTTACAGCTTCATTCGGTAACCCTCTATCTTGATTGTATCAACATAAATTACTGATTTTTAGCAATGTCCTTGAGGCCAGGTAAACAAAAGTTAAAAAAAAAAAAAAAAGAGAAAAGAAAATGAAACCCCAATACCACTGGAGAATTGGCATTGACTGATGGAGTAGCAACATCAGGGTTCCTCAAATATCAGGTCATCCCATAAGTTCTGTCCGAATTTTGAATAAAAAAAACAAGTGACCAAATGTTATATTTAATTACAGATTCAATCAACAATGTATTTTCCATGATTATCTATGACTTCCTTCCATCTATTAACAAGCTTACTAATTCCATTACTGTAAAATTCTTTTGGCTTTGATTCGAAGAACTCACAAATGTCAGTTTTAACCTCTTCCTGTGTTACAAAAGCTGTTTCTTCCAAATGATTCTGTAAGCTACGAAATAAATGGTAGTCTAAAGGAGCAAGATCGGGAGAATAAGGTGGATGAGGAATTTTCTCCCAACCAAGTCCTTCGATCTTTTGTGACGTGATTCTTGCTGTGTGAGATCGCGCATTGTCCTGATGAAACATCACCTCTTTTTGATTCACTAGAGCAGGTCTTTTTTTCCTCAAAGCTTGGTTCAAACACTAATTGCTGACAATATATTTGAGCATTAATTGTTGCATTAGATGGTAAGAATTCAAAGGGGGTTATTCCTTTGCAATCCCACCAGATTGAAAAAAGAACCTTTTGCCCATGAAGTTCCCTTCTCGGCTGTGGCTGGGGTCCTTCCTCTTTACCAAAGCCACTGTCTACAACGCTTAACATTTCAATAAAACATCCATTTTTTCTCGCCAATCACAAGTCTATCCAAAAAAGGTGAAACAAGTTGGCGAGAATGGAGAGAAGAGCAAATGTCAACTCGAGATTTGAGGTTGTTTTCAGACAATTCATGAGGCACCCATTTTCCAAGTTTAGGAACTTTTCCAAGTTGTTGAAGATGACGATGAAAAGTTGTATGGTTTGAACTGAGAACCACTGCCAATTCCTCAACTGATAAAGCAGGATTTTCTTCAAGGGTTGCTTCAAGAAACTTTTCATCAAACTCAACTGGACGTCCGGTTCGATCTTCATCTTCAAGGGTGAAATCTCCACCTCTGAATTTTGCAAACCATCTTCTGCAAGTTCTTTCATTCACACATTCCTCTCCATAAACTGAGTGAATGTTTCTAGCTGCTTCGGCTTTTGAGTTTTCTTTCTTGAACTCATAAAGCATTATGTGCCTCAAATGATTCTTGGGTAGTTCCATGTTAGCAGGGTTTTAATCAAACAAAATTTAATTTTATTGTTCTCTGAAATAAAATTTGCTCAGTTTAAATGCATCTAAACATAAAAATAATGTTCAGCTCCAAAATACTCTTTAAATTTTGTTCATTTTAACAAAAAGTTAAAATTCGGACAGAACTTATGGGATGACCTGATACTTCAAAAGAAAAAAAAAAGTAACTATGAAAAGCTAGTTTAAGAAAACAGACTTTTTTTTTTCTACAAAGGAAATTCTGAAACATACCTACATCCATAAGAATGCCAACCAGGACCCAGGTTCTCAAAATATCATCTTATTCTAGTGCAATGCAGCAGGTCATATGATCAAACTAGGCCGAGTGTAGAGAGCCAACAATCCTTGTACCCTTAAGAACAAATGCAAATATGTGCTACCTGTTCTGGCAACACAATAAGGTAACTTGATCAATCTGTGTTTTTTAAGGCTTGTCAACCTTTTGAAGGTTATTTAAAACCAAAGATTTTTTTTGAAGATAATAATGATCTTCTGATACCATTTAATCCATACCTGGAAAGAGAAGAAGTGGATTCATACCATTCCCAAAGGTATTTGCACCTAAATGAATGAAATGAACCCAACTGAAATTTGAACTCAGCTCTCCAATTTTTCCTTCCATGCCATTATCCATTACCCCACCCTCACATCCAAGCTTATAACACCTAGTATTCCTGAGCAGTCACCCATCTAGGTACTGGCCACATCTAATATTGTTCAACTTTGGTGATCAAATGAGAACCGGTGTTTCAATGTCATATGGCCGTAAGCTGTAAGGCGGCTTGAGGTCATGATCATTTTGTCCCTTGATTGGTTCAACTATTGCTTTATGCCTGACATGTAAAAAGGGAAGTTGACAAGGAAGACTTCAAACATGATCAAGGAAAATATCAAAGAACACTAAAAAAATTCCTTACTCACAAAGGCCTGGAGAACTGCTGAAATTGTTGAGGAAAGAAAAAAGAAAAGCAGAAGCTTATCCATTAATGTGGACACTGGAGAAATTTGTAGCAGTTTTTTTTTGTTTTTTTTATCAGATTAAAGTTTGAAGGATATGGTTAAGGAGTACAATCCTTCGATGAAATGAAGCTTATGTATTACCTGTGCAATCACTGCTAACCTACGAGGGCCACTTCAACAATTGTTGGAAGAAACAAAGAGAGAGAAGTAGTAGCTTCTTGTAATTGTCTATCTTTTATCTTTTTAAGCCAAGGAATCTGCAAGTGTGAAGCCTCTTGAAAAACCTCAGTTATCAAATTCCAGAGAATCTGACAATGCTAAATTGTTCAAAACATACATTTTCATTTTTCTTTATTTTGCAGACATGATCCTAATTAAAAAAAAAAAAATATATATATATATATATATATATATATATATATATACTTTATAATGCTAATAAAGACCTAGGAAAATTTCCCACATATATCCATAATTGGGATAGTTTGCCTTGGTTAAAAGTTTTATACAAAGTCATGACCAAATGGATAAAATTCTGCATATACTTAATGATAGAAACAATCCATTATAAATATAAAAATAAAGAATGAATAAATTAACTAAAAAAATTACAAATCCCAATACTTAACTTTCACTTCTGATGAAAATTCATGAAAAATAGGAAAATTCTGTAAGATTTTAATTCCTACCTAACTATTAGGTTGGTGCAAAAATAATGTCATTTTCTCACATGTTACTTTTATATATGATTTCTGAATTCATTCATTGATATATATAGCCATGTTATATATCTTTTGAAGCACGTTTTTCACTATCAAATCATGTTATTCGTTACCGTTCTCAATCTCTTCATTCATTTTTTTGCAGGCTTTTCGACAGCATGGACAAAATTCAAATCCATACGAAATTCTTGTTCCAGTTCAAACTAGGCGAAAAAGCTGTCGAGACAGCTCGTGATATCAATGATGTGTTTGGCCCAGGAACCACTAACGAGCGTGTTAGCTGTGATGGTAGTTCAAGAAATTTCGCAATGGTGACGAGAGCCTCGAAGATGAAGACTGCGGTTGATAACAGACATTTGAAAGCCTTAATTGAAGCCAATCCTCACAAAACCACACGAGAAGTTGCTGTTGAACTCGAGGTCGACCACTCAACAGTCGTTCGCCATTTAAAGCAAATAGGGAAATCAAAAAAGTTGGATAAATGGGTGCCTCATGAATTGAACGATAATCAAAAAAATTGTCGTTTTGAGGTGTCTTCTACGCTCATTCTGTGCAACAAAAACGACCCATTTCACGAGCGGATTATGACGTGCGATGAGAAGTGGATCCTCTACGACAACTGGCAACGTTCGGCACAGTGGTTGGATGCCGGAGAAGCTCCACAACACTTCCCGAAGACGAAATTGTACCAAAAAAAGGTTATGGTGACTGTTTGGTGGTCTGCGGCCGGTCTCATCCATCACAGCTTCTTGAATCCGGACGAAACGATTATAGCGGAGAAGTACTGCTGACAAATTGACGAAATGCACCAGAAGCTCCAACGTATGTGCCAGAGATTGGTCAATATGAAGGGACCAATTCTCCTCCATGATGACGCTCGCCCGCATGTTGCTCAACTGACCCTGCAGAAGCTGAACAAATTGGGCTACGAGACTGCCCCATCCGCCATATTCACCGGACCTCTCACCCACCGATTATCACTTTTCAAGCATCTCGACAACTTCCTGCGCAAAAAATGCTTCAAAAGCCAAGATGATGCCGAATCGGCCTTCAATGACTTCATCGCTTCCAGAACTCCGGATTTTTATGCTAATGGGATAAATAAATTTGTTTTTCATTGGCAAAAATGTGTCGATTCTAATGGTTCTTATTTCGATTAATAAAGTTTATTATGAAAGGAGTTATGATCTTTTGAAGTTGAACGTCAAAAAACGACATTATTTTTGCACCAACCTAAAAGTAGGACTTGTCAAGATTTGAATCACTAAATTGGAATATCTCTTTGTACTTATAACTAGTTAAAAAAGAAAAGTAACATTTTAATATGAAAAAAAAAAAAAAAAAAAAAAAAAAAAAAAATTCTGTGTGGTAGTGTGGATAAAATGTTGGGGGTGATATCTATATATATATATATTAAAAAAAATAAAGCATTTTTCACTTCCTTCTCCAAATGAATCTTGGTAGGATCAGCCATTTTCAATAAATAATAATAATGAAAAAAAAGAAAGAAAAAAAAGGTCAAAACAATTCATTTTTCAGACAAAGAGTCATTTTGAGATCACACTGCTTTTACTTATTTTATTTGTCTATGCTAAAGCCTCCTAAGATGAATTGTAAACTACCAAGTATTTTCAAGATTAATTTGATCAGGACCAAAATTAAGTGAAAAATAGATATAAACATTAGAATAGAAAAGAAGAGCATTTACCTCTATATTCCAACTGTGTCGCTCCAGAATGTACTTACATCTTTCTATATCCTCAATCATAGTGAGATCCTATAAAATAAAAAGTTAAATGAATGCAAGGTGTTAAAAAGTGAAGTTAATTTTTTTTTTTTTAAAAACTACAAGTTTGTTGCTGGTTAATTATCAAAAAGGTAAATAAAAACATGAATTATTAGAAGAAAATGCTTTCAAAATATTTCAGATCAGACAACTAATATATTATCTTATAGTCATTTTTAAAAGGACAAAAAAGTCCCCTCTTCTAGACTTGGAACAATTTGTTCTAAAATGGATTTCTTCACAGTATCTAATCATCTCAAATGGTTGCTTACAGATAAATGATCAAGCAAAATATTGCTTCAGCATTCACATGAAAAAAAAAAAAAAAAACCTCTGAATTAGAGTTTCTAAAAATACAAATAAATTATCTACTACTTGTGACAGGTGACAATAGCTTTGTATCAGATGTATATTCAACAAGTGAAAAGAAGTCTCATTTTTATTACATCCTTTAATTCCATTCCAAACATACTTGACCAAATTATTTTCTTAAAAAATTTTCACTACAAAAGGCCATAAAAATACACATCCATTTTAATTGTGCAACTTAATTAAACAAAAATAGAATATGCACAAAGATAAAAGAATTAAAATTTTTAGCACATGGAGAAATTAAAAAATTTAAATAATACATTCTTCAGTATTAATAAATTTCTTTTATAGTCATTATTACGCAACTATTAAATAATTAGTATCCATGTCTTAAAAAATATCAATATTATCCTGAACATATATGTTAGTTGGCTATTTATAGTCATCACATGTCTAAATGGTTATGGCATTATCTATTTAAAATGGAAAAATAATGTTTTAAATATTCTTTTTTTTCTTCTTTTACTGGGATTTCACTCAATTTTGTTGTCTCTCTCACACACACACATATATATATATATATATATTTTTTTTTTTCACTGCTATATCACTATAAGCAATATCTCTAACTCAGTATTAAGGGAATTTATATAGAATTCTTTTCTTTATCTTTACTCTTTAAACAATAAGGATGAAATTAGTGCTTTAAAATAAAAACGTTGCCTTGTGCATTATCTTCTTGGTATTTTTGACCATATATATATATATATATATATATATATATATAAGGAAATTGTATAAATAAATAAATAAAAACACACACAAGACAAAATGTGATAATTGAAAATAGCTTAAGAGGAAAAGAAATGTTAGCTGAAAAAAAAAATAAAAAATAAAAAAAAAAGCAGCTAACAATATCAGCAGTGGTTCATAAAATAAAGTGACAGGCAGACATTGCTTTTGATTTATACAGATTTTATAGAAAGACAAGTGACTGATAGTCCAATGTTAAGAAAACTGACCCACCCTCATAACTAAATCATGTACAGAGTTAGAGAAGTTGAAAAAAAAGAAAAAAAGCTGAGACCATCTTACAAATAGAGAAAAAAGATAATCATGCATATGGAATCTACATATTAAAAGTGAGGTATATAAAAATAAAATACACTTGATATTCAAAAATCTAAGACGAAGATTTATATATAGAATTCTAAAAGTACATTTTCTGCCTGCATCATCAACACTGGATGAAAGTGGGTAATGTACTTACATCATTCACACTGCACAAGTAAACTCTTCTGTAAATAATTTAAAACATCAAAAATAGGTAATAAAATATAAAGAAATGTTTCTTTTAATTCCTTTGAGAATTTTGGTATATTAAGGAGTAAATAAAGAATTCTGCAGAAGATAAAAGCCAAGAAAAAAATTCAGGTGAAAATTAGTCATTTTATACTCAGGTTACAAACAAGGAGCATTCTCACCTTCCCAAAGCAGTTTATGAAAAAAGAAAAATATTCTACACTCCACATTCTTGTAAGGAATACTAGTTTATATATATATATATATATATATATATATATACACACATACATACATACATACACACAAAGAGGTGATGAAAAATTCCTGACCTAATTTACTTCCCAAAATCTGACCAAAGTATTGGAATTTTTTTTTTTTTTTTTTTGCATTCACTTCTTGATTGGTTTGATAGATTTTCACCAGCCCCCAGTGTGTATGAATAAAGGAAAACTTTTCCTTATCAATGCATTTCATCCTCTGTAATAAACTTTTAAACACACCATATATATATATATATATATATATATATATAATATATATAAACAAAGGACAACAGCCAAGTTTTGTTTTTTATTATAACCAAATTCCATTATGGTAGTGTCTCACTTAATCCATAGTTATTTTTAACAACAAAATGGCTTTCTACTTAAGCCTCAAAATTGTAAAAGTTTTGGATATATCTAAATTACTTTTATAAATGTTAGAAATACACCAATTTAGACTAATTTTTCAGACTAAGTATTTTTAAGCCTTCCAAAGTAAAGCACAAATCAATAATATAAACAAGTTTGAAGCTAAACTCTCTTTCCTATAAATTTGTCTATATATAAAATAGCATGAATTTTACATAAGCCATATATGAGGAAATTCTAATGTAAGTATTTTTGGAAACCAACCCCCAAATTATATAAGTACTTTCAAAAAATTAGTCATTATGGCTTTTGCTAACATTGAATTACTGTAGAAAGGAAACAATAATCAGCTAGGAGACAAACTAACCACTTTGTTCAAGAACATTAAATATGTATAGAATGTAGACATTAACTAGATTGTACTTACTTAAAAAGAGCACAAGACAAATTTACATTCTTTCCTATGAAAATAAATGGATTATATTTTGATAGAGGCTTAATGCAACATTTAAATTCATCTTTAATTATTGTTATTGGGTTCAGGAACTAAACTAAAAAGAAAAAAAATCTATCTAAAATATGAAAACAATTATATATATATATATATATATATATATATATATATATATGAGAGAGAGAGAGTTTCAGTATTGTATAAGTGAATGTAAAAATGTCCATAGTAACTCAGTGATCACTTTGTAAAAAACAAAAAATCTAAAATGAACACTGCCCATATGTGAAGCATAAATTCAGAGTATCAAGAATAAAAAAAAAAACAATTCTGGAAATCAATCCAGTCAATATCTCTCTCTCTACAGAGAGAGAGAATTAAAAGTTTCCAGTCAGTCACATCAATTCTGTAACCATAACCTCTGAATTACAGATTCTGTTGGTATGTTCTTAGATATTTTTACAAAATTAGTTGAGTCACAAATTAAGATTTCATCTGACAGCTTTAATTGTACATATAAACAATTTTAAAATTAAATGACTTTTCCTTTTCAGCAGGAACTGGAAATTAAAAAGTATCTACTAATTAAGCTATGATTACACAAACTCTAAACATGTATGAAATATTTAGTCAGTAGATATAAGAATAATTTACCATCTGAAATCAGGGCTGATCTTCAATCAAATGACAATGAAAGACATGCCTAAAACTAAAAGTATATAGAAGCAATAACAATATGTCCAGAGTGAATAAAGAATATAAAAAATTGAATGGTTAATGCTAAGATTATATAAATAAACTTTAATTTCAAATTTTTCATATTAATATCTCATTTAGGTGACAGGATTCAGCTGAAGGATGGATGGATAAACAAATAAATAAACACACAAAATGAAAATGAAGTTTATTTGATGTGGGCCAGTAGCAAAATTATGTTCAAAATAAAAACTTTTTCATTTACAAATTTTAATAAATATAAAATTACTTTAAAACTCATGCTTAGGTACAGTCATGAGATTGCTAAAAAATGAGCATAGCATGATGAAAAAGACGCCAAACTTGACGAAAACAAAATTTTAGCATCTAAATGTTTATGTTATTAAGAGGAAAGAACAAAATATTTAATTATTTTAAAAACTTTTTCCCCTTTTTTTAGAACATTTTAAATTTTGATTGAAAAACCTTGATTCGCTTCATGTCCAGCAGAACTACTAAGTAACATATAAAATTTTAGCACATTTTTTTTTCTGTATGACAAACATTAATTTTGAAAATCTTCCAAAAATAAAAATAATTGTCGGATTTTAATGAAACTTTCAGAAACTATTTACAAATGATGGAACTTATATGTTTTCCTTTTTTAAAGTAATGGCAAAAATTTTTTTTCATATGTATTAAACCAACTAATTGTACGAAAACTCTATAATTTCAATTTTGGTCAGATTAGTGATTATATTAGTTAAAAGCACAAGGCTTTGAGGAAACTAAATCATGTTTTTTTTTTTTTTTTTTTTTTTTAGTTGGACCACCTCTACCTGAAAATCATCTCTGAATTATAACATACAAAACTCAATAAAACAAATATTGTTTAATTTCAGAAGGTTTTAATTGTTTTTATTTATTTTAATGAACATGGGCAATATTGTCTGAAAGCAAAAAAATATTTCAATGAAAAATGAATTTTTAAAACAATTATTTGTTATTTCTGAAATATTTTATTTTTACATTAAATGTTGTTAATTCTAAAATTAGGGAAAAGTTTGTACAATTTAACGAATGTTATTAAATAGATATATATTTACAGATTATAATTTCCAAAGCTTCTTACAAACTAATGAACACCAGTATATAAAAAAAAAATATAATTTGTGTCAATAAAACAACTGTAAATCAAATCTACGGAAGACCAGAAGTATCATGTGTGCAATAAAAAAAAAACGTAACATGGATTGAGTTTCTGTCTAGTATTTAACTTAAATACTGAAGTTTTAATACAATTATTTGTTATTTCTTTAATTATAATAGATTTTTACATTTAAGTTGTTAAAAATATTATAAAATTAGTTAAAAGCTGCAATCGGTTCCTTTTGAAATAGATTTATTTTTGTGAAACGCGTGGAGAAGTTAATTTGATTTTTCAATTTCAACTGAGAAAGGTACCTACAAGTATCAGTATCATCTTATGAAATTTAAATTTGTATTTTATGCACACTTCTGATAAAATTTCATAAGAAAGGTACCTATAAATCAATTAGATACCTTTCTTATGAAATTCAATCTCACTCTCAAGT